CCCACCAAGAGCCGGGGTCTGTCGGAGGTTTCTTCCGTTAAAGGGAGTTTTTCCTCCCCACTGTCGACAAGTGCTTGCTCAAGGGGGATTTGGTGGGTTTTATGAGTTGATAATAATAAGGTCTAGACTTTACTTTGTAAAGTGAACTGAGATGACTTTTGTTGTGATTTGGCGCTATACAAATAAAATTGATTTGATTTGGACTAAAAAGCAACGCCAAGCAGTTGATTTTTAAGCGATCTATCACTTAATTATTCTGATTCAAAACAGCAGATAGCATTTCATATGAACACACTGCCAAAAACTGCAACAAAGTCAAAACGAGGATCATGTAAAGTATATAATTTTAAAATTCTGAATATGAACACAGAAGCCATACTCCACTGAAGCTATGAAAAGTCAGGTATTGTTCACAGCCCTGAAAACGGCGGTGTCATGCAAACGCTTCAGTATCAACGCTACAAAGAGAAAAAGGCAGAGAGATTAAGATAGATTTTTTTAACTGACCTCTAGAGGAGAGTCTGGTTCATCCAGGATGCTCTTCTCACCCTGTATCCGCTGCATCGTCCCTGTAGAACTGGGGTCCATTATCAACACGTTCTGACTACCAGCTCCACCAAACTTACAGTCACTCTTCCTGGAGTCAGTCGTCCTACACACCTCGTAGTTGTACACGTGTTGGAGAGTCCCTGTCCCCAAAGTGTCTGAGTAACGTGGTGGATAATATGGAATCACAGGGAGATTGGAGTGATACAGGATGCGAGACTGTCTCCACCTGTAGATCTTCACTGATATAATAACCACTAAACAGGTGATGAAGAGGAAGGAAACTACAGCCAGAGCCAGCACTAAGTAAAAAGTCAGGTTGTCATTGTACTCCTTGTCGTGTGGAAAGTCAGTGAACTCCGACAGCACTTCAGGGAAGCTGTCCGCCACCGCCACGTTAACAATGACTGTAGCTGAACGAGAGGGCTGCCCGTTGTCCTCCACTATAACAGTCAGTCTCTGTTTCACTGTGTCTTTATCAGTCACCTGGCGGATAGTTCTGATTTCTCCATTCTGTAAGCCCACTTCAAACAGCGCCCTGTCTGTGGCTTTCTGCAGTTTATAGGAGAGCCAGGCATTCTGTCCAGAGTCCACATCAACAGCCACCACTTTAGTGACCAGATAGCCCACATCTGCTGAACGAGGCACCATTTCAGCCACCACAGAGCCTCCAGTCTGGACTGGGTACAGGACCTGAGGGGGGTTGTCGTTCTGGTCCTGGATCAGTATTGTCACAGTCACATTACTACTGAGAGGAGGAGAGCCTCCATCCTGAGCTTTGACGATAAAAACCAGTTCCTTGATTTGCTCATAATCAAATGAGCGTAGTGCATATATCACTCCACTTTCTGCATTAACTGACACACAGCGGGAAACTGGAGATCCACCAAAATCAGAATCTACCAGAATATAAGAAATACGGGCGTTTTGGCTTTCATCGAGATCTTTGGCACTAACAGTGAGAAGGGAAACGTCTGGAGAGTTGTTCTCTATGATAAACGCACTGTATATATTTTGTGAAAACACAGGAGCATTATCGTTCACATCAGAAACCATCAAATGAAACGTTCTTTTAGTTGAGAGGGGAGGCATCCCCGCATCTGTCGCAACAACAGTGATATTATACTCTGAAACACTTTCACGATCTAATACAGTATCTGTTACCAAAGTGTAATAATTTCTTAAACTTGATTTAATCTTAAAAGGTGTATTTTGTTCTATTTTACACATCACCTGTCCGTTTTCACCCGAATCAAGGTCTTTAACATTTAAAATTCCAATAGTTGTACCAGGAGGGGAGTCTTCTGACACAGGACTAGTGAATGATACAATGCTAATAGTAGGGGCGTTGTCATTCACATCAATTACATCAATTATCACTTTACTTGAATCTGTCAGGCCTCCTTGATCTTTTGCATCGATTCTGAGCTCATATCTTTTATCTTTCTCAAAATCTATTGAACCAGAAACAACCAAGGCACCAGAGACTTGATCTATAGATAACAAATCAGCTATATTGCTTTTTATATTTGAAATTGAGTATGTGATGTAGCCATTAGATCCGCTATCTGCGTCTGTAGCATTCACGGTCACAATATTAGTGCCCTTCGCTGTGTTTTCTATGACAGTGGCCTTATAAACAGACTGGTTGAAAACGGGAGCATTATCATTAACATCTAACACATTTATATCGATATTTACGGTTCCAGATCTCTGCGGACTGCCACCATCTACTGCTATCAGCTTTAAAGACAGACGAGGGACGTCCTCTCTGTCTAGCTGTTTCTGAAGCACCATCTCTGCATATTTACTTCCGTCTGGATTAACATGCTCTTTCAAAACGAAATTATCCTTTGAGGTTAAAACATAATTTTGCAGGCCATTAACGCCAACGTCGGGATCTTCTGCACTGTCCAGCACAAATCGCGCCCCAATGTTGGCGGATTCGCTTATGTCTAACATGATATCTGATTTCTTGAATACCGGAGGGTGGTCATTCACATCTAACACTTCAATCGTTATGTGATGTAGCTTCATCGGATTTTCTAAAATAATTTCGAAGCTGAAGCTGCAGGGTGTGACGTCTCCACAAAGCTGCTCTCGGTCTATTCGCTCATTCACGACTAGAATCCCTTTGTCTGTCTTCAGCTCGACATACTGAGTGTTTTCTCCGGTAACAATACGGGCCCGACCAGAACGGAGCCTTTTCAGATCCAATCCAAGATCCTGCGCTACATTACCGATAAAAGAGCCCTTCCTCATCTCCTCTGGTGTGGAGTAGCGGATCTGACCAGCTACAACATAAAAGAAGCAAAGCAACAAAGTAACTATTACCCGTTGAGGTCCGGAATGCAAACGCCATTTGCAGAGTGATTGGTGATACGCCATGTCAGAAAGGGACGTTTTCCGAGGAAAAAAGAAAAGAAATCCTCCAGTCTGAATTCACAAACATCCACTCTTCCACATATGCTATGTTCGTATACTGGAAAAGAAAATTAAATTTAGCTGGACACCAAATAAAGGCTTTCTTTATCAGGATGTATACGCTTCCTGGTGGTCCCACACAGCCTATGTGATCTTACAAAGCACATCCCTGAAATGCAACATAGATATTACTCGTTGTCTGCAGATTATATTCTTGTTCAACAGCGTCGCTTAGAGTCCAAAACGTGAACACCAAACAACTTGGCTGCTGAATTTAAAAGTAATAATCAGTTAAAATAATAGCAGTGTAGTAATAGAGGCAGCAGAATTACTATTAAGTTATGTGACAATTGAGTTTCATGATTTGAGTGTTGCATGTTTAATTTGCAAAATTGTGAGAAACGTCCGCAATTAACATACATTAGCTAAGTTAATAACACATTTAAAAGTAACGATAGGAGTAGTATAAGCAGGATGCTTCAGATTAGAAGGTAAAAAAAAAAAAGGAAAGTGTTAAAGAAATAAGGGCTGGGCGCTTTGTGGTGCTGAAAACAACCAACTAAAACTAAACCTATTGCAATGTCATCTCAGTACAGAGAAACCGTGTTTGTAGGACTTTGCATATATCATCTCACCTCTAGAGGAGAGTCAGGTTCATCCAGGATGCTCTTCTCACCCTGTATCCGCTGCATCGTCCCTGTAGAACTGGGGTCCATTATCAACACGTTCTGACTACCAGCTCCACCAAACTTACAGTCACTCTTCCTGGAGTCAGTCGTCCTACACACCTCGTAGTTGTACACGTGTTGGAGAGTCCCTGTCCCCAAAGTGTCTGAGTAACGTGGTGGATAATATGGAATCACAGGGAGATTGGAGTGATACAGGATGCGAGACTGTCTCCACCTGTAGATCTTCACTGATATAATAACCACTAAACAGGTGATGAAGAGGAAGGAAACTACAGCCAGAGCCAGCACTAAGTAAAAAGTCAGGTTGTCATTGTACTCCTTGTCGTGTGGAAAGTCAGTGAACTCCGACAGCACTTCAGGGAAGCTGTCCGCCACCGCCACGTTAACAATGACTGTAGCTGAACGAGAGGGCTGCCCGTTGTCCTCCACTATAACAGTCAGTCTCTGTTTCACTGTGTCTTTATCAGTCACCTGGCGGATAGTTCTGATTTCTCCATTCTGTAAGCCCACTTCAAACAGCGCCCTGTCTGTGGCTTTCTGCAGTTTATAGGAGAGCCAGGCATTCTGTCCAGAGTCCACATCAACAGCCACCACTTTAGTGACCAGATAGCCCACATCTGCTGAACGAGGCACCATTTCAGCCACCACAGAGCCTCCAGTCTGGACTGGGTACAGGACCTGAGGGGGGTTGTCGTTCTGGTCCTGGATCAGTATTTTCACTGTCACATTACTACTGAGAGGAGGAGAGCCTCCATCCTGAGCTTTGACAGTGAATAATAGTTCTTTGATCTGCTCATAATCAAATGAGCGTAGTGCATGTATAACTCCGCTTTCTGCATTAATAGAAACATAGTCAGAAAGTGGAGCTCCAGCGATATTAGCATCTTGCAGAAGATAAGATATACGGGCGTTTTGGTTTTCATCAGGGTCTTCTGCAGTGAGCATCAGAACTGAAACACCAGGGGAGTTATTTTCTATGATAAACGCACTGTGAACACTTTTTGAAAACACTGGAGCATTATCGTTCACGTCAGAAATTTTCAAATTAAAGGTCCTTTTTGTCGACAGTGGAGGCGTCCCTGAATCTATTGCTATGACAGTAATGCTATACTCCGAAACACTTTCACGATCTAATACAGTATCTGTTACCAATGTGTAGTAATTTCTTAAACTGGACTTAATCTTGAAAGGTGCATTTTGCTCTGTTCTACAATTTACTTGACCGTTTTCACCAGAATCGAGGTCTTTAACATTTATAATGCCAATTGTTGTACCAGGAGGGGAGTCTTCTGACACAGGACTAGTGAATGACATAACACTAATAGTAGGGGCGTTGTCATTCACATCAATTATGTCAATTATCACTTTACTCGAATCTGTCAATCCTCCCTGATCTTTTGCTTCGATTCTAAGCTCATATTTTTTGTCTTTTTCATAATCAATTACACCTGTTATTAAAATAATGCCAGTGTTTTCATTAACTGTAAACAAATCACTAAGAGCACTACTAAGGTCTGAAAAATAGTACGTCACAATGCTATTTGTCCCGGAATCTGCATCAGTAGCATTAACAGTGATGACGTAGCTGTCTCTGGGCGAGTTTTCCATTACTGTAGCTTTGTACACAGACTGATTAAACACAGGCGAATTATCATTAGCATCAAGTACAGTGATATCTATATTTACTGTACCAGATCTCTGCGGAGATCCACCGTCTACTGCTATTAGTTTAAGAGACAGTTTGGGATTTGTCTCTCGGTCTAGTGGCTTCTGAAGCACCATCTCTGCATACTTTTTCCCGTCTGCATTCGCGTTTTGTTTTAGAGCAAAGTTGTCATTCTCAGTCAAAATGTATTCTCTGAGTCCATTAATACCCACGTCCTGATCTTCCGCACTCGTCAGAGGGAAACGAGAGCCAATACTAGCGATTTCGCTGATCTCAAAATTGATGTTATTTCTTTTAAACGTTGGCGAATGATCATTTACGTCTGTTATTTCAACTGCAATTTGATGTAGCTCCATTGGGTTTTCTAAAATCAGCTCAAAGCTGAAACTACACGGTGTTATGTCTCCACAGAGCTGCTCCCGGTCTATTCTCTCGTTCACGACTAAAACCCCTTTGTCTGTTTTCAGCTCGGTGTAGTGGGTGCTGTCTCCGGTCACGATACGAGCCCGGCCAGAACGCAGCCTCTGCAGTTCCAAACCAAGATCCTGTGCTACATTACCGATCACGGACCCTTTCTTCATCTCCTCCGGGATTGAATATCGGATGTGTCCAGTGACCATATGATTGACGTAAAAAAGGAACAAAAGAAGCTGCCAGTTCTGTCCACAGCCAAAGCGCCATTTTACGCACTGGGTGTAGGATCGTATTCCACATGCCATGGCAAAAGAAAAACGCAAAAATGTGCTCTACAGCGACCCAAGCTCGATGATTGTTCTAAAAATCTATTAAATATACCTCTAAAGAAAATATCTTCTCAATTTCCTGTACATATCGGGATGGATATACCAGTTAATGCGAATCTGTTTTCATCAAACGTCAGCCCACATAATGCAGCCTGTCTCTCCCAGGCCACAGCAGAAAAGGAGGGGACTGAAAGGAAACGTTTCAGAGATTGGATTGACCAACAGCGTCCCTTAGAGTCCAAAATCAGGAAGATCTTCCAACATAATGTGTAAAAATATTAAATAGTAGATTACATCGGACATCTACATGGTCAAAACTATTTAAATATTATAACTCAGTAATGGGGAAAACAGAACATTACTGTTCCTAGGTAAAAAGCTCTATTAAAAAATACATGGACATAACAGCACCGCTGCAATAGAAACCATCAAATGAACCTCACAAACAAAAACCACGACAGTTATATCATGGTTCGAAGAAGCGCTGTAAAGGGGAATGCTGGGAGTTTTATCAAACTGTTTTTTGTTTATTAAAAGCAGTGAAGTTGAGATTTTTCCTGAATCATATATGAAGTTACATGCAAATCATTTTGTCAACAGTCACGACCGTATGCACATTAACTGACTGGATATCACTCCGCTGTACAACCACATGCATAATGTTGCAAGAAATAATAAAGTTACCAGCCCGAGTTTATACAATTTTCAACCAGATCAGTTTAAGGTGCGTGGGAAATACAAAACATAAAAGTGACTGATAATAAAAGGGAGTGTTATTTTGAGGTTATGAAAAATGAAACAAAACCAAGAGAGACACAGAGATTCAAAGCGAAATTCTGTCCATGGTGCTGAAAACAAAGGTATAGATTTCAAGGATTTACTATAAATGCAATTATAAAAAGAAATCACGACACAATAACTGACCTCTAGAGGAGAGTCTGGTTCATCCAGGATGCTCTTCTCACCCTGTATCCGCTGCATCGTCCCTGTAGAACTGGGGTCCATTATCAACACGTTCTGACTACCAGCTCCACCAAACTTACAGTCACTCTTCCTGGAGTCAGTCGTCCTACACACCTCGTAGTTGTACACGTGTTGGAGAGTCCCTGTCCCCAAAGTGTCTGAGTAACGTGGTGGATAATATGGAATCACAGGGAGATTGGAGTGATACAGGATGCGAGACTGTCTCCACCTGTAGATCTTCACTGATATAATAACCACTAAACAGGTGATGAAGAGGAAGGAAACTACAGCCAGAGCCAGCACTAAGTAAAAAGTCAGGTTGTCATTGTACTCCTTGTCGTGTGGAAAGTCAGTGAACTCCGACAGCACTTCAGGGAAGCTGTCCGCCACCGCCACGTTAACAATGACTGTAGCTGAACGAGAGGGCTGCCCGTTGTCCTCCACTATAACAGTCAGTCTCTGTTTCACTGTGTCTTTATCAGTCACCTGGCGGATAGTTCTGATTTCTCCATTCTGTAAGCCCACTTCAAACAGCGCCCTGTCTGTGGCTTTCTGCAGTTTATAGGAGAGCCAGGCATTCTGTCCAGAGTCCACATCAACAGCCACCACTTTAGTGACCAGATAGCCCACATCTGCTGAACGAGGCACCATTTCAGCCACCACAGAGCCTCCAGTCTGGACTGGGTACAGGACCTGAGGGGGGTTGTCGTTCTGGTCCTGGATCAGTATTTTCACTGTCACATTACTACTGAGAGGAGGAGAGCCTCCATCCTGAGCTTTGACTACTAGCTGAAGCTGTTTATTCTGCTCATAATCAAAGGAACGGATTGCACTGAGAACTCCAGTTTCAGAATTTATAGATACATAAGTAGAGACTGGGAAACCACCGACTTCTGTTTCATCCAAGATATAAGAAATTCTCGCATTTTGATTCCAGTCAGAGTCCTGAGCGCTAACAGTGATTATTGACATTCCTGGGGAGTTATTCTCCGTGATGTGAGCATTATACACTAATCTATCAAACAAGGGGGGGTTGTCATTGATATCAGAAATTGTAAGATGCAACTTTATGGTACCTGAGAGGGGCGGGGAACCTAAATCTGCAGCAGTTATGGAAATGTTATATTCTGGTGTTTTTTCACGGTCAAAAAATGTATCTGAAACCAGTGAGTAGTAATTAATCAAGGATGATTCTATTCTGAACGGCAGATTCCTGCCTATAGTACATTTGATTTGCCCGTTTCTTTCAGAGTCTGCGTCTTTAGCATTAAAAACCGCAATAGTCGAGCCTATTGGAGCATCCTCAGACAAAATACTCGAAAATGACATGAGGTTTATCACTGGCACATTATCATTAACATCGACAATATCAATTATTACCTTACTGAGATCCGTTAACCCTCCCTGATCTTTAGCTTCAACTCTTATTTCAAATTTTTTGTCCTTTTCATAATCTATTTGTCCAGATACCGTTATTTTACCTGTGGTCTTGTCAATGCCAAACATGTCAGCTAAATGTCCTTTCAAATTAGAAAACGCATACGCCACTAAACCATTAGATCCACTGTCAGCGTCTGTAGCGTTTACGGTCATAATGTGAGTCCCTGGCGTTGCGTTTTCCAACACAGTAGCCCTGTATATAGTCTGATTAAATAACGGAGGATTATCATTAATATCTAACACGGTGATATCAATATTTACTGTACCAGATCTCTGTGGTGTCCCACCGTCCACTGCTATCAGCTTAAAGGAAAGGCGGGGTTGCTCCTCTCTGTCTAGAGCTTTCTGTAGGATAATTTCTGCAAATTTACTTCCGTCTGGGTTCGCGTGTTGTTTCAGGACAAAATTATCGCTGGTGCTCAAAATATATTTTTGCAGTCCATTGGGTCCTACGTCTGGGTCATCAGCACTTTCCAAAACGAAGCGAGAGCCGATTACAGCAGATTCGCTTATCTCCATTTGTACGTAGTTATTTCTAAACAGAGGCGCGTGGTCATTTACATCTAGTATTTCGACCATTATACGATGTAACTCGATTGGATTTTCCAGAATGATTTCGAAGCTGAAACTGCAGGGTATTACGTCTCCACAAAGCTGCTCTCGGTCTATTCTCTCATTCACAACCAAAATCCCTTTGTCTGTATTCAGCTCGATGTACTGGATGTTTTCACCGGTCACAATCCGGGCCCGGCCAGAACGGAGCCTTTTCAAATCCAAACCAAGATCTTGTGCTACGTTACCAATCAGAGATCCTTTCTTCATTTCTTCTGGGACAGAATAACGAATCTGGCAATACACCACTGAATTCAGGACTAAAATATAAACAAATAACCATCCGGGCCACCACAGGCCTGAGGGAAAACGCCTTTTAACACGTTGCAGTAATCCCGAAGTAGCCATATTACACGGTGCTTGTAGATCAATCAGTCTCCTCAAAAATCTTTGAGTGGCAATTACAAAGCGACTAAAGGAAAACAATCAAAAACAGCGCAGATTTCATAGGTATTTTGCTTTGTATACCACCGTTCTTCTTCTACAGAATAAAGACTCTTATCAGAGGCGAGGCAGTATTGTCACTGACGACACTAACGATTTTCAGAGAGCAACAGCGTCCCTTAGAGGATGGAGCTATTTAAAGTGACATAAATGATGACCAACTCTATTTATTTATTTAAAGAATTATAATTTAGCACAGAGAAAATACAACACGTGCACACCCAGTGACTTCACTATCACTGACTTAAATTTAAGTCCCTTTGATATATTAATCTTAAAACGCATTGTCTAAAAAATACCAGGAATTGAATAATTATTTTAAAAGTATGGAAGCGATGTAAATACTTTGGTCTAAGTGGCCTTGAGGAAAAACACCAGCACGTATTAATGTAGTGCTGTCCAAGCTTCAGGTGCTGAAATGTGCCAGATGAACACTGACTGTATTCTTTATATGAAATAAGAATTTTCAACATAATTTAAACATTAAAGAAGATACGAATGCCACCACAAACAATTACCGGTAGGAAAAAATGTATGCACATCCACATTTCAGATTACGTAACATACAAGACCACACTGCCAAAGACTGCAACAAAGTCAAAACCAGGTTCATATAAAGTATCAGAGGTGAGAATGTTTTGAAATTCTGAATATGAACAAAGAGGCCGTGCTCCAATGAAGCTGAGAACAGAAATGTATTGTCCACAGCCCTGACAACTATGGTATGTCATGCATCGGTTCAGTATCAATGCTACTAAGACAGAAAAAGAAAACCAAAAGGAAAAAAAGAAGCTAGATTATTTAACTAACCTCTGGAGACGCTGTCCACGGTGCTGAAAATAACAACATGATGTGCAAATGGATTTTTCAGTACAACAACATCAAAGAAGAAAACACAAGGACACAGCTGTTTAACTAACCTCTAGAGGAGAGTCTGGTTCATCCAGGATGCTCTTCTCACCCTGTATCCGCTGCATTGTCCCTGTAGAACTGGGGTCCATTATCAACACGTTCTGACTACCAGCTCCACCAAACTTACAGTCACTCTTCCTGGAGTCAGTCGTCCTGCACACCTCGTAGTTGTACACGTGTTGGAGAGTCCCTGTCCCCAAAGTGTCTGAGTAACGTGGTGGATAATATGGAATCACAGGGAGATTGGAGTGATACAGGATGCGAGACTGTCTCCACCTGTAGATCTTCACTGATATAATAACCACTAAACAGGTGATGAAGAGGAAGGAAACTACAGCCAGAGCCAGCACTAAGTAAAAAGTCAGGTTGTCATTGTACTCCTTGTCGTGTGGAAAGTCAGTGAACTCCGACAGCACTTCAGGGAAGCTGTCCGCCACCGCCACGTTAACAATGACTGTAGCTGAACGAGAGGGCTGCCCGTTGTCCTCCACTATAACAGTCAGTCTCTGTTTCACTGTGTCTTTATCAGTCACCTGGCGGATAGTTCTGATTTCTCCATTCTGTAAGCCCACTTCAAACAGCGCCCTGTCTGTGGCTTTCTGCAGTTTATAGGAGAGCCAGGCATTCTGTCCAGAGTCCACATCAACAGCCACCACTTTAGTGACCAGATAGCCCACATCTGCTGAACGAGGCACCATTTCAGCCACCACAGAGCCTCCAGTCTGGACTGGGTACAGTACCTGAGGTGGGTTGTCGTTCTGGTCTTGGATCAGTATTGTCACAGTCACATTGCTACTGAGAGGAGGAGAGCCTCCATCCTGAGCTTTGATAATTAGCTCAAATTGTTTAATTTGTTCATAATCAAAGGAGCGAATCGCGCTAACAACCCCCGTTTCAGAGTTTAATGACACATAAGAAGAAACTGGACTTCCACTGACCTGAGTGTCCTCTAAAAGATACGAGACTCTCGCGTTTTGATTCCAGTCAGAGTCCCGTGCGCTGACAGCAAATACAAAAACTCCAGGGGAATTATTTTCTGTGATGTAAGCAGAATAGCTGCTTTTATCAAATAATGGTGCATTGTCGTTTACGTCCGAGATCTTAAGATTTAAATTAGCTGAACTAGAAAGAGGGGGACTCCCAAAATCAGTGGCTGTTATAGTTATGTTATATTCTGAGACGGATTCTCTGTCAAAATGCTGATCTGAAACTAAGTTGTAATAATTTGTTATTGATGACTCGATTTTAAAGGGACGTTTACCAGCTACAGAACAGTGTATTTGCCCATTTCTCTCAGAATCCGCATCTTTTATGTTCAAAATAGCAATCGTTGTACCAGGGGGTACATCTTCAGATACCATGTTAGAAAATGACATGATAGTTATAACTGGGGCATTGTCGTTGACATCAAAAACATCTACTATAACTTTACTTGTCCCAGTTAATCCACCCTGATCCTTGGCTTCTACCCTCACCTCGTATTTTTTGTCTTTTTCATAATCTATTTGACCAGAAACATAAATTCTGCCAGTGTTTTCATCAATGCTGAATATATCTGCAGCGCTTCCTTTCATTTTAGATAAACTGTAAGTAATGAGTCCATACGAACCGCTGTCAGCGTCTGTGGCATTTACTGAAATAATGCTTGTGCCTGTCATTGTGTTTTCCATCACAGATGCTTTATACACTGACTGGTTAAATACTGGAGCGTTGTCGTTTGCATCTAACACAGTGACATCTATAGTTACTGTACCAGATCTCTGTGGTGTCCCTCCGTCAACTGCGATTAGTTTCAAAGACAAATTGGGATGACGCTCTCTGTCTAAGGGCTTCTGCAGCACCATTTCAACATATTTACTTCCGTCTGGATTTGCGTGTTGCTGCAAGATAAAATTGTCATTTGGGGATAAAACATAGTCTTGCAACGCGTTTTGGCCCACATCTAGATCCTCCGCGCTCTGCAGTGGAAACTGCACACCAACTACAGCTGATTCACTTATTTCAAAACTGATACGTTTATCCTTAATTGGGAAAACAGGAGCGTGATCATTTATATCCAGCACCTCAACAGTTATTCTGTGCAATTCCATTGGATTTTCTAAAATCACCTCAAAGCTGAAGCTGCACGGTGTCACGTCTCCACAAAGCTGCTCCCGGTCTATTCTCTCATTCACGACTAAAATCCCTTTGTCTGTCTTCAGCTCGGTGTATTGGACGTTTTCTCCGGTCACAATACGGGCCCGCCCAGATCGGAGCCTTTTCAGATCCAAACCAAGATCCTGCGCTACATTACCGATAACAGAGCCTTTCTTCATCTCCTCCGGTATAGAATACCGAATCTGACCACCTACCATGTTAACGACATGAAGCAGTAAGATAAGCAGTCTTATGTGCCGTCCCACTCCATGAAACAATCGCCATTTTAAGAATTTGTGGGTGGAAGATCTTCTTAGTGCCATCATTCAAAACAAGGAATTGAAAAAGGAAGTTTGAATCCACTTGATATAACGGAAAAGCTGCTTCTCATGTATCAGTTTCCTGGTTTTAACTAAACACGTCTCCAACGTTTATATGTAAGCCCGTGAGACACTGTTCATCACAAACCTCGACAAAACACAGTGAGCCTTATTCACTGTAGTCAGCCAGGGCAAGGACTGGATGACGACACAGCACAGAAAAATATTTTGACCAACAGCGTCTCTTACAGTCTAAAAGGTGAACATCAAATAAGGCCTCTGCAACAGTATTAACACTCAACGCTGACAAACTGCACACATCTCTATCTCCAGTGGAAATCACAGGGGAGGACTTTAACATAATCTTTGCAAAGTCACAGGTTTCACGTCAAAAGCAGCATTAAGACAAATTCAGTGTAAAATAAACATCAAACGTGGCTTAGACCTCTCAAACAGCCTAGAATAGAATTAACCTCATTTAATACATCTCTATTTTAGTAGAAGGTTAGTTTTCAAAGTAAGATGTGCAAATTAAAGCTTTAACACAACACGTCATATATTAACCAGGTCAATGAAACAACTAAACATTGAAGCGCAAATACGTTGTTCCGAGAAGTAAAAGACAAATTATCATTTTTAAAACTGACATGCATATTGTATGGTTCCATTCTCATCAAAAGTAATGGGTTTGATTACAAAATGTTATTTGAACTAACACTGAAGTGAAGCTGTCTCCTGTGTGATATATTATTATCAGAAAAAGTGTCAGGATTTTTGTGCAAAAGTAAAATACCTTTGAGAAACAACGAGGTCATACAGTAACTTTCATTAGTGCAGCAGAAAATTTTGATTTGCCAATTGGAGCAATAGATGGTTATGCTTACTGCTATTTTTCCTGTGCCCTTATTTACTAAATACTGTTAGCTGCCACAAAAAAAAATAGATTCTTACCATCCTGTAGGAGTGAGGTTATTAATCTCATGAAAAACCTTAGCCTTGAATGCAGTGCACAAAAGTATGACATTACTTTGGCAAATGAGAAATATACATATGGACGTTATCTGTAAGAGCCAGTTTAACGGCTGCATGTGTTGTCTACTGCTGTCCATGGTGCTGAAAGTGACAATCGTGTGCAACAGTGTGCTTTATCAATGCAGCTAAAACAAATGTGCCAAAACACATGCATCTAAAACTTTCAACTGACCTCTAGAGGAGAGTCAGGTTCATCCAGGATGCTCTTCTCACCCTGTATCCGCTGCATCGTCCCTGTAGAACTGGGGTCCATTATCAACACGTTCTGACTACCAGCTCCACCAAACTTACAGTCACTCTTCCTGGAGTCAGTCGTCCTACACACCTCGTAGTTGTACACGTGTTGGAGAGTCCCTGTCCCCAAAGTGTCTGAGTAACGTGGTGGATAATATGGAATCACAGGGAGATTGGAGTGATACAGGATGCGAGACTGTCTCCACCTGTAGATCTTCACTGATATAATAACCACTAAACAGGTGATGAAGAGGAAGGAAACTACAGCCAGAGCCAGCACTAAGTAAAAAGTCAGGTTGTCATTGTACTCCTTGTCGTGTGGAAAGTCAGTGAACTCCGACAGCACTTCAGGGAAGCTGTCCGCCACCGCCACGTTAACAATGACTGTAGCTGAACGAGAGGGCTGCCCGTTGTCCTCCACTATAACAGTCAGTCTCTGTTTCACTGTGTCTTTATCAGTCACCTGGCGGATAGTTCTGATTTCTCCATTCTGTAAGCCCACTTCAAACAGCGCCCTGTCTGTGGCTTTCTGCAGTTTATAGGAGAGCCAGGCATTCTGTCCAGAGTCCACATCAACAGCCACCACTTTAGTGACCAGATAGCCCACATCTGCTGAACGAGGCACCATTTCAGCCACCACAGAGCCTCCAGTCTGGACTGGGTACAGGACCTGAGGGGGGTTGTCGTTCTGGTCCTGGATCAGTATTTTCACAGTCACATTGTCCATGGTGCTGATAGAAAACTGAACAGCGACTGTTTATAACTTGATAAATTATATATGAACACACATATAGAACACATTTACAACCCTATTTAACTGACCTCCAGAGGAGAGTCTGGTTCATCCAGGATGCTCTTCTCACCCTGTATCTGCTGCATCGTCCCTGTAGAACTGGGGTCCATTATCAACACGTTCTGACTACCAGCTCCACCAAACTTACAGTCACTCTTCCTGGAGTCAGTCGTCCTACACACCTCGTAGTTGTACACGTGTTGGAGAGTCCCTGTCCCCAAAGTGTCTGAGTAACGTGGTGGATAATATGGAATCACAGGGAGATTGGAGTGATACAGGATGCGAGACTGTCTCCACCTGTAGATCTTCACTGATATAATAACCACTAAACAGGTGATGAAGAGGAAGGAAACTACAGCCAGAGCCAGCACTAAGTAAAAAGTCAGGTTGTCATTGTACTCCTTGTCGTGTGGAAAGTCAGTGAACTCCGACAGCACTTCAGGGAAGCTGTCCGCCACCGCCACGTTAACAATGACTGTAGCTGAACGAGAGGGCTGCCCGTTGTCCTCCACTATAACAGTCAGTCTCTGTTTCACTGTGTCTTTATCAGTCACCTGGCGGATAGTTCTGATTTCTCCATTCTGTAAGCCCACTTCAAACAGCGCCCTGTCTGTGGCTTTCTGCAGTTTATAGGAGAGCCAGGCATTCTGTCCAGAGTCCACATCAACAGCCACCACTTTAGTGACCAGATAGCCCACATCTGCTGAACGAGGCACCATTTCAGCCACCACAGAGCCTCCAGTCTGGACTGGGTACAGGACCTGAGGGGGGTTGTCATTCTGGTCCTGGATCAGTATTTTCACTGTCACATTACTACTGAGAGGAGGAGAGCCTCCATCCTGAGCTTTGACGATGAAAACCAATTGCTTGATTTGCTCATAATCAAATGAACGCACTGCATGTATAACTCCACTTTCTGCATTGACAGAAACATAGTCAGACACCGGATTTCCGCCTACGTCATTGACATCTAGAATATAAGATACACGGGCGTTTTGGTTAGCATCTGGATCTTGTGCACTTACAGTAAGGAGAGAAACACCCGGAGAATTATTTTCTATGATAAAAGCATTGTAAACCTCTTGTTTAAACATGGGAGCATTATCGTTCACATCAGAGACCTTTAAGTAAAAGGTCCTTATAGTTGAGAGGGGAGGCATCCCTGCATCTGTCGCAACAACAGTGATATTATACTCTGACACACTTTCTCTATCTAACTTAGAATCTGTGACCAAATTATAGTAATTTCTTAAATTAGATTTAATCTTGAAAGGAGCATTTTGTTCTATTCTACAAATCACCTGTCCATTATCACCTGAATCCAGGTCTTTTACATTAATGATGCCAACTGTTGTGCCAGGAGGGGAGTCTTCTGACACGGGACTAGTGAAGGACATCACGTTAATGACAGGTGCATTATCATTCACGTCAATCACATCGACTACAATTTTACTGGAGTCTGTCAAAGCACCTTGGTCTGTTGCTTCAATACGTATTTCATATTTTTTTGTTTTTTCATAGTCAACCCCCCCTGAAAGAAACACCACACCTGTCGTCTTGTTCATGTAAAAAATGCTGTCGATACTGCCTTGCATTTTGGAAACAGAATAGTAAATCAAACCATTCAGTTCGCTATCTGCATCGGTTGCATTCACAGTGGTGATGTAAGTACCTCTTGCAGCATTTTCCATTACAGTGGCCTTGTAGACTGACTGATTGAAAACGGGAGAATTGTCGTTAACATCTAGGACAGTGATGTCGATATTCACTGTGCCAGATTTCTGTGGCGTTCCACCGTCCACTGCTATCAGCTTTAAGGACAGACTCGGATGTCGCTCTCTGTCCAGCGGGTTCTCAAGAACTATCTCCGCGAATTTTCTTCCGTCTGTGTTGGAAAGCTTTTTTAATGCAAAATTTTCATTTGGAGACAAATGATAATCCTGAAGCCCGTTGACTCCTACATCAGGATCATTAGCTGTTGGCAGAACAAAACGTGCTCCCGGTGCGGCTGATTCTCCAATCGTCAAATGCATGTCATGCTGATGAAAAGACGGCGAATTATCATTTATGTCTAACACTTCGACTGTAACGTGGTGCAGTTCCATCGGATTTTCTAAAATCAAATCAAAAGTAAAGCTGCATGGCGTTGTGTCTCCACACAACTGTTCCCTGTCTATTCTCTCATTCACGACTAGAATCCCTTTGTCCGTCTTCAGCTCGGTGTACTGGATGCTGTCTCCCGTCACGATACGGGCTCGGCCAGAGTGGATCCTCTGCATGTCTATTCCAAGATCCAATGCGATATTCCCAATAAGGGATCCCTTCTTCATTTCTTCTGGGACTGAATAACGTATTTGCCCACTGGCAATGTGACTGAGGAAAAGGAGAAACAGATTTCTCTGCGACGTCAATTTGTAGAGTAAACGCCATCTTAGAGTACGGTAGACACTGTTTCCGAAATCCATGATATCAAAGAAGTGAAATAAAAGTACACTATCAAAACAGCAGTAGTAGAAAACCGAAGTTAATAATGAGACCTCTGTATCTAGATTCCTTTCCCTCGCAGTGAAAAATATCAAATCAAAGCCAGTCTGTGTATCCACCCTCCACAGAGTGAAGAGAGGCACCGCCTAAAACACTGTTCACATTTGTTTTTACTTGGCCAACAGCGTCTCTTAGAGTCCAGCCAACGAATATCAACAGAGAATAGGAGGAAAAAAAGGAAATTCAGTTTCCAAAGCAACTGAATGCAGACAGTTCCCCTTACCGAACAAATTAACGTAGCCACATAGCACTCGAAATAGAAACAAATGCATACAGTGACATATGACAAATTCAGTATTACACTACACTGGAGACCTAATAAATTATACTGTCATACAATGCAGTGCATCTAAGGAATGCAAACGGTGACAACTCTCTTAATCACTACACACTAAAGCACATCAAACATAATAGGACGTTTCCAAGAAAAAAGGGATCAGTATTTTACATTACACAATAGTTATGCTGAGAAAATAGAATTACTCTGAGGCTTCCAGAGAATCTTAATTATCGGAAAACTGCGAAGATTTCCATCTAAAATTGGAAAAATAACCACATCTATTAAAACACTAAGGATGTTACATAAACACTTATGCTGAAGCCACAAGAGTCGATTTATAATAATGCTGTATATAAATGTTTTGTGTAAGAATGGATGTTAAGTATTGATGATAAACGACAATGTAGCCACTAGTCTGAATTTCGACTTGTGCAGGAAACGATTACAATGTGGAAGAAAGCGCTGCCATCACCAGCAGTCACGAGCGTTTTCTAGTCTCATCTAACACTGCTAATTAATTATTTGACTATAGTCAAAAGGCATCTTTACTACCCTGTGAATTCCACATGAAGCTAGGTTACTCAACATGTCTATATATATACACTAATTATGTAGGTTATTAGGACATGATCAACAGTCAAATGCAGCACAAATGCAAAAAATATAAAGCAATTTTAATATTCTGGAAAAAACTGTGGGCTGTGGGCTCTGAGTTATTCATTGTTCAATATTGATATTTTAATCTTACAGAATCCTTGCTCCTCATACAAAAATACCGTACAAAAAACCCTAATCAAAAGCGATACAATTTGCCCGGAGACTGCAGAACTACTTTTCCCAAAATGCATAGCGCAATACAGCATAGTTACATAACACAGTACGAATGAGATTTCTATATGTTTTCCAAAACCGTGGTTTAAAGACAAACAGTAGAAACTTTTCCCCAGGTAATGTAAAAAGAGACGCTGTCCATGGTGCTGAAAATAACAACATGATGTCCAAATGGATCAGACGCTGTCCATGGTGCTGAAAATAACCACATGATATGCAAATGGATTTATAAGTACAACAACATCAAGGAAAAAACACAAGGACACAGCTGTTTAACTAACCTCTAGAGGAGAGTCTGGATCACCACACTTACAGTCACTCTTCCTGGAGTCAGTCGTCCTACACACCTCGTAGTTGTACACGTGTTGGAGAGTCCCTGTCCCCAAAGTGTCTGAGTAACGTGGTGGATAATATGGAATCACAGGGAGATTGGAGTGATACAGGATGCGAGACTGTCTCCACCTGTAGATCTTCACTGATATAATAACCACTAAACAGGTGATGAAGAGGAAGGAAACTACAGCCAGAGCCAGCACTAAGTAAAAAGTCAGGTTGTCATTGTACTCCTTGTCGTGTGGAAAGTCAGTGAACTCCGACAGCACTTCAGGGAAGCTGTCCGCCACCGCCACGTTAACAATGACTGTAGCTGAACGAGAGGGCTGCCCGTTGTCCTCCACTATAACAGTCAGTCTCTGTTTCACTGTGTCTTTATCAGTCACCTGGCGGATAGTTCTGATTTCTCCATTCTGTAAGCCCACTTCAAACAGCGCCCTGTCTGTGGCTTTCTGCAGTTTATAGGAGAGCCAGGCATTCTGTCCAGAGTCCACATCAACAGCCACCACTTTAGTGACCAGATAGCCCACATCTGCTGAACGAGGCACCATTTCAGCCACCACAGAGCCTCCAGTCTGGACTGGGTACAGTACCTGAGGTGGGTTGTCGTTCTGGTCTTGGATCAGTATTGTCACAGTCACATTGCTACTGAGAGGAGGAGAGCCTCCATCCTGAGCTTTGATAATTAGCTCAAATTGTTTAATTTGTTCATAATCAAAGGAGCGAATCGCGCTAACAACCCCCGTTTCAGAGTTTAATGACACATAAGAAGAAACTGGACTTCCACTGACCTGAGTGTCCTCTAAAAGATACGAGACTCTCGCGTTTTGATTCCAGTCAGAGTCCCGTGCGCTGACAGCAAATACAAAAACTCCAGGGGAATTATTTTCTGTGATGTAAGCAGAATAGCTGCTTTTATCAAATAATGGTGCATTGTCGTTTACGTCCGAGATCTTAAGATTTAAATTAGCTGAACTAGAAAGAGGGGGGGTCCCAAAATCAGTGGCTGTTATAGTTATGTTATATTCTGAGACGGATTCTCTGTCAAAATGCTGATCTGAAACTAAGTTGTAATAGTTTGTTATTGATGACTCGATTTTAAAGGGAAGTTTAGCAGGTATCGAACATTTTATTTGCCCATTTCTCTCAGAATCCGCATCTTTTATGTTCAAAATAGCAATCGTTGTACCAGGGGGTACATCTTCAGATACCATGTTAGAAAATGACATGATAGTTATAACTGGGGCATTGTCGTTGACATCAAAAACATCTACTATAACTTTACTTGTCCCA